TAGGAGAGTTACAGTAACTAATACATTATTTATTGTTGTCTTCATGGCAGCTACTCACCGTACAAGTATGAAATATTGCCCAAACAATATTAGTTGAAGTCTTTCTTCACATTTATTTTTTAAAAATAACATTATTGTGCAAATATTGGTCACTCCTATTTTTCCCCTCAAATCACTCAAATTTCTGCGGTATGAAAACGTTACAGTGTTGGGGCCGGGGAGATTGCTCAGTAGAATAAGCGCTTGCCTGGCAAGTGGAAGGGCCTGAGTTCAATCCCCGGCTCCAAAAAAAAGTTACAGTGGGCTGCGGACCTAGCTCAGCGGCACACCAGCCTAGCAATCGCCAGGACCCAGTTCATCCCTGGTACCAACTCCGCATGCCCTCCTCTCCGCCCCCCCAAAAAGTTACAGCGCTGTGAGCAAGTACTTAAGTTGCAGTTGAGCACCAGACACCAGTATCTTTTTAAAATCTGGAAGTTATGATATTTAACAAGGTTTCCCCAAATGTATAATGTCACAGTAGTTTCAAAGCAGAAGCACGATGAGAAAATGAGTCAAGCTCCCCACAAAGCAGAGTTGTCAGGCTCTATCCACCAACCCCGGCACTTCTGGTTCACAGGTGGCCAGTGGGACAGAACCGGGTTGGGCTGCAGTCAGTAAGCCAGAGGTTCTTTCTTCTCGCCTATGCGTAGCTGCAGAGCAAAAGTAGCCTGGCGATCTGCCGTCCTCATTTCCTTAAAAAGGTAGGAAAGGCAATACCATGAGCTGGCAAAAATTCCCGAGTGCTCCATGGGAAGACCAAAATTGGCGCTTCCTCCTCCATCCAGTAAGTAGCCCGTACGCAGGTCCCTAGCTGACGGATGGACCCCTGTCCTAATCTCCAGGTGCTGCTCACAGAGATGTTACCAAACAGTATCACGCGGGAGTTTGCACGAGTGCAGTTTCCATCACAATTGTCCCCACTTCACGGCTCACTAGACTGAGCCCTGGTTGTTACGCAGCGTTTCCCGCCCCCTCCAATGAGACGGGTCACAGCCCGTATAGGACGAAACAGTCCTACTTCCGAGCTTCAGCTTGTCTTTATTATTTCTGTGTTTTTGCGGAAAGGGGAAAACGGAACAGTAGCAGACAGTGCAAAGACGGTTCATCTGGAAAAGGACTGATCTTCAGGGTGCAGGGAGGTAACAGAAGGGAGAAAAGGAAATTCAGAAATTCCTAAATAGATTTTAAAAGAAAGTCGACAGGAGAGTGCCAAAGGCTGACTGCGATTTATCATATTTGGGTGACATTTTTTTCAAGTCCTAAACCTACTCCTCAAGTTGCCAGCAGAGGGCTCCACGCTGGGCGCGTTAGTCCTGGTGCGAGCGGCTGCCGCGTCTATTGGACGCCATCCCCTTGGAGGGCGTTGTCAACTCTCTCTTCTGCCCTTATAAGTTGAAATAAGAGTGAGTGAGAAAGGAAACAGTGTAGCCCCCGGGGTTGTCCGAAGCGCGCTCCCGGGCGAGCGTGGAAGAGAACGCGGGCGGAGGGGAGGCGGAGACGCGCGCCGCAATTCCCGCCCGGGGACCCCTCGTTTCGCCTTGCGTTCCCCCTTCTTCGCTCTTGCGGGCCATCTCCGCAAGAGAAATGCAACAGAGGCGGACAGCAGAGCAGACGGGCTTAAATTAGGAAAAATTATTCTCAGGAGAGGTCGTTTCATTTATGAGTGGTTTATTTATTTTTTGGAGGAGTTTGAACATGTTAGATGTCAAAACAATCGCTTCTAAAATTAGTAGGTGTAATAAGAGTGAACTTGCCAAACTCACTTAGCAGTAAAACGTTCTCTAGACCTCTGCGCTCAAAATTCTCAAAACGAAACTGAGCGGAGGTTCAATTTGCTCCTACAAAATTCCGACAGAGGGCGCTGTTGCCCGTTCAACGACTGAACGCTTCCTAGGACCGGTTTTCCTTGAATTTTCTAGGATTTTTGAATAATATCCACGTCGAAAAATTAAGTGGAATTTTAAAATTATAGTTATACGCTTTGTGTTACTTGTCTACATTGTATATGTGCACATATATTTTTAGGTTTGTGTTTCATGCCTCATAAGACTAGACTGATTTTTAATCTTAAAGAGTTTTGGTAAATTTTAACAAAACATTTCAAAACATGACTATTTTTTAAAAATACTTACTATTAACAAAAAATAAAATTACATATAAAAAAATGAAATTATGCCTATTCATGTATATAAAATGTTTATACTAACACATTGTATATTTTTAAAATAGTTGTAGAAAAAAATATCCCTCTGGGTTCTCTTATTAAGCCTCAGTACTTATTTCATGTTACTCAATAATACATTAAAAGGTGATAAAATGTATTAACAGCATTTGAAGAATAAAACAAGTTTTCCAAAAGCTTATTTGGGTTGAAAGGATGTATAAATGAGAAAGTGTTGATTTGAAAAAGAGAAGACAAATATTCCCATTTTAACAAATATGTCTGGAGAATCCGAATTTCCATGTATGTCAGGTTTATCTTCCAAAATAGTGAGCTGATTGGTTTTGGCTCTAGAAGGGGGTGCAGTCCATTTCGAGCCTCACCACAGAGTGAGATCAGGAAGGGGTGTCTTCCCCTCTCCTAACTGGCTGGGGTGCGGGGGGGGGGGATGCAAAGGAGATACTTCTAGTGGGAAAGCTGTTCGGGTTCTGTGTGATTTAAGGAATAATATTAAAAGAGAGGAGAAGGATGGGAGGATGGGAGAGAGGGAAGAAAAAAGGAGAGAACTGGAAGTGAAGATGGGGCTTATTTCTCAAGCTCTTTCTGAAGCACCTTTGTGATCCTACCATTTGCTTTATGGTTAAAAAAAAAAAAAAAAATTAAGAATCCTCCGGAGCGTTTGCTGGGCCGCGCGAGTCGCACCGCCCAGGGGCCGGAGCTCCAGGACGCTGCAGGACGCGGTCCCAGCTCCAGCACAGCCGCGCGGGGCTCTGTGGCTGGGAAGACAATCGCCCTTTACAGATACACCCTTATCAGCTTTAATAACTTCCAACCTCAATTGCCCCGGCCCGTCTCGTTCCCCCTTGTCATTTATTTTCTGCCTCAAGGGCAGAGACGTGCCTCTGCGCTTCCTCCAGGCTGTGGGGAGCCTTCCGCACCCTGAGAGGGAGCAGAAAACCGGGCTGGGGAAAGACAGACAGTGAGTCCTCGCTTCCGGAGGAGACTCACAGCCCTGTGTCTCAAAGAGGGTTTCCTTACAGGGTTTGGTTAACTTCGTTCTTGTTATTTATGCCTCCCTAAAATAAACTATACAAATTACTCCTTTAAGAGAAATACTCTGGAGAAAAACTTCTTGCGCCTCCTCAAACGTTTGTTATTATCTTCCTCCAGAATCTCCAGCCTAAACCTTCTCAAAGATTCGGGTGACCCTTTCTTGTGTCTTCGCTGTGAAGACGGCAGATGCAAGCAAAAGCGTCCCTGCCTCTGCTAGAAAGGCAAAAAGTGAACCCGGCGACTGCGTGCTTATCCTGCCCACAACATCTGAGAAAACTTCATAAAATGGAGACTCCAGCCAAGAGAAATGGCGCATGGAATCCGTTTAAAGTCCACACAAACAGCCCCTAAAGCAACACGCTCTACAGAGAAGGTGTTCCACAATATTTAAGTTTCCAAATGTTTGAGCAAAATGACTAAAATATTGGAAACAGTCATTGCAGTGGCTGGCTTTTTTATTCTGCACTGACAGAGGTAAAAGTTTAAAAAAAAAAAAAAGTTACAAAGCCATCAACTGAGAAAGATAGCCCTTAGAATCATCGACTCCTTTTTGCAAAAATAACTTTCTTCTTAGTGCATACGAATTGAAGATTTGTGTTTTAAAATCTCAACGATGATCTCCCTTAAAATCTGTATTTAAAACTAGGGGAGCTGATGGTCTGTTATTTCTCATTATGAATTGTTAAAGACTTTAGTTAGTGGCTGCAATGATTCATCATTTTCAATATAGAGGTTTTAAATGTATGTCTCCGTATTAATCCCCCTGAACAGATATCCCTTTTCAATGCACGTTTAAAGTCTGTAGGCAGTGTGTGACCCAGAGGTGCTTATATAACTAAATGTGGGCATCTCCGTGAAAATACATGTTTATGATTTTTATAATGTGTGTGTGTGTGTGTGTGTGTGTGTGTGTGTGTGTGCGTGTGTGTGTGGGTTGCAGCTAACTCCTGTGTGAGCAAGCCTGTTTTTCTCTCTGCTGAGGCTTCCTTCTCCAGCCTATTGTTTGAGACAACAGATATAAGTTGCGATGGGAGAGGAGCGTCGGATTTGGTGTGTATTCCCCATTTCCAATTATAGATGGATCATTACAGACAGCGGAGCCCTGAGAAGCCAGACATCTGCTTCTCACATGAATGCATTCACCTCCTAGAGACCAAGCTGCCATCATGCTCTGGAAGCTCGTGGAGAATGTCAAGTACGAAGACATCTACGAGGTGAGCCCGCGCCCCCGACGCATTTGAGCGCTTTGCAGAGACAGAATTTAGGCTTCCTGACCTCCCGGCTGATATATATTTTTAAACTATTTACTCACAGATAGCTGGGTGGTTTTCTCAGCTGCTGTAACTTTTAGGGAGGCTGGCTCTGGCGGACTTCACAATGCTGAAAAAGGACTTTCAGGAGGAAAACTGGCAACTTGAAATTGGAGAGATTTTTTTTTTCCTTTTTTCTTTATTTTGCGGACCCTTCTCCCTCCCTTCCCTGTCTAGCGGTGCACGGAATGTGGAGCCCCTTCGTGTGACAGACTGCCAGAGAGGCAGATGCTGTGAGCACAGGGGCTCTCCTGGCTCTGAGCACGGGAGAGAACGGGGTTTTCGAGCCTAGTTTGCAGCAGACCGGGACTTCGTAATTTTTATTTTCGGAGAGCTCTGAACGAGAGCAGCGCACCCCCCCCCCCACACACACACACCCAGGGGGAGAGCTGGACGCGGCGGGCGTGGGCGGATGGGCGCGCCGCCGGGGTCGCTCTCCGGGGCCCGGGTCTCCCGCCGGATCCGAGTCGCCGCCTCCTCCGCTGGCGGGGCCCTGGGCGGTGAGACGGGCGGTGACACCGGGAGCCGGGACACCACGGAGGCCCCCGGGGCGGGCAGGTTCAGAAAGTGGCAATGGCCGCAGGAGCTCGGGGGCGCCGGACTGGGTCGCTCCAGGAGCCCTGAGAGCAGGCAGGAGGCAGAGGAGAATAGAGGCGGGGACCCGAGGGCAGGGCGGCCAAGGCTGCAGAGGGGCGCGGAGGGGCGCGGAGGGCACTCAGGTTCTTCCCCTCCGGTCTTGTCTCGGGGTCCCCGCGCCCCGCCGCCAGCCTCGGTTCCCTCCTTCCGTAACAAGCGGGATCGTGGCAACCGCGAAGCGAACCTGAGCCCCAAAGAACAGAGCGTCCCAGCCAGCCGCGACTCCGCGGGAGCCGGGCCGGGGGTTGGTGGGGCAGCTGTAGGTGGGCCTGGAGGGGCGACCAAGGCCACCTCGGCTCTTGCGGGGGAGAAACGCACGGCTCAGAGGGCTGGGACGAAGGACGAGCAGGAGCGGAGAGGGAGAGGGACGCGGGCGGGTGCGAGGATCCCCCGCCGCCTGCGCTTCTGCTCGAAAGCCCAGGAGCCCGCAGCGCGGGGCCAGGAGCCCGCGCGTGTCTGCACCGGGGTTGAACTTTAACAGAAACGGCGGTCAGGCCAGTAGAACGAGTTCTGAAACTCTAAAAGGGTTTTCTGTGGCCCCCGGCCTTGCTGGGAAGGGTAAGTTAAGTGAGCTTGGAGACCGGCTGTGTGTATCTTACATCGAGGTAAAAATCGCAAAGGGCAAGCTCCGCACAGCAGACGCTGCGGGGGTGCCAACCCCGTCTCCTCCTTTGCTTTAGAAAGTGAGCCGAGCCTTCCAGGGTCAGCGAGAAGTCTGCACACGTCACTGCAAACAGCCGGCCCCACCAATTCCCTTCCCTTTCCCCTCCAAAGGACAAGGCCAGGCCTTCTCCTGTTTTGCAATCCGCACACAAAGCGCTGGGGCAAGCCCGTCTTCCCACTGGGCAGGGCTCCCCGTGAGCAGGGCACCTCCACTCTGTGTGAGCCTCGCAGTGTCTGGCCCGGGGAGCAGAGGCTGCTGAACGCTGGTCCGGCTCAGTTAATTGAAGTTCTGCCTCTCTTCTGCTAAACTTTCTCCCCAGCCTGCTCTGCCAGCCCCCTCGTCTGATTACATCTAGTAATTCTCCACTGAATGAACGTCACTTACAATAGTGGGCAGCTCTGCGCCCGCCGCTGCTTCACGCTCCATTTGTCCTCCATTCTCGCTTTAAAGTACTCGTGTAATATTAATAGTCATGAATATCAATTATTATGAGGCGGTGTAGGCTAGTGGAGGGAGGAAGGGGCGCCCGAGCAGTCTGAGCCCAGCTTCGGTTGGAAGAGGAGTTTATCTGGAGCCCCAAAGGACGGCAGAAGGAAGCAGGCCCAAAAGACACCAAGAGATAGAGGAGCGCTTCTGACTGTGTGTGACGGGCATCTCCAGT